CAACATTTTAGTGAAGCAGAAGGTGTTATCAGAAACACTTTCAAACAATTGCGATGGATTGTTTTGGAGCACGTTGTGTTTGAGTTGCTGATGGGTGTGCACAGTTATCACAGTCTGCAGATGTGCATCCATGTAGTCTGGTATGATATTGATGAAATGATAGATTTCCCCCGTAGGGGGATCCGGAACACGTACTGCTTCCAAGTTCTCCCTTTGAAATGGAATTTTGTTTTTAGTATGTCTGTCAGTATATATCTCCACAGAGTTTCTCTGAAGATCTTAGAGGATTCCAATGTGCAGACAGATATGAAACATTTTTTTTAGTGCTTGCTTGTTCCCTCTGAAATATGATCCAAAGTTTTGTTACAAATGCAGATCCCTATTTTTGTATAGGAGGGTTTTAGTGTAATTCCCATCTGAGTTAGTCTCCTACAGGAGAATGTGTTTAATTGGCATAGTGCTATATTATCTAAGTTATAGTTACATTTACATGATAAACATTGAAAATGATGCAATCTTGATTAGACTGTCCGAGAAAAGTCCAGAAATGTATTATTTTTAAACACAAAGTTTTTTCGTTTTTTCTTTTTGAAATATTCAAATTTCATTTATGTCTGTCAGTTTTTAAGTAAACAAATTAGGAATATTCTGATTACATTGTACTGCCAGAGGGTAAACATTCTCAGAAACAAAGTTTGCTTTAACTCACACCTTTCCCAAAACCTCCCACCTTTTGTATCTAAAAGGCAATGCAATACAATATAGGATTGTTGTGTTCTCTGTGTATAGAGCTCTGTACATGTGTCAGTTGATACTGTCTGTATACATTACTATGGGAGGAGTGGTAACTCTGTTGGTCATCCTGTTGCAGATAAGGACTTGACACTGCAATAAAAAGATATTGTTGTCTATATTATATTGTCTTCACAATTGAAACATGGTTCAGATACCAATCTAATCTCTGATACACTTGAAGCTAATTAAAGAAGCTAACATTCCTTTTGGTGATATATATTCAAGCAAATGTTTTATCTTGGAGCGCATGATTTTTGTTGAAGGACTGGATGTTTCTAAAAATAGAATTATGGCGGTGTCTCCAAACAATGAAACGTCCCGCTTCCTAAGCTTTTTTTTTTTTTTTTTTTTTTTCAGATTGCTTACATTACCGTTTTGAAAATAATAAAACAATTGTAGACTTTAACTGTATCTTATATTCCCCCTAATCCTTTTCTAGTTTGAGCACACCTTTACCATAATTTCTGACTATAGTATAAAAATGTATGAGTATTTTGGTAGACTTTTTGAAAGCTCTGCAATCATTTGAAGTTTCCAAAATTGCTTTTCACACCCTGGACACTTTTTAGGACAAACATTATACATATAGTATGAGCTGGAGTCAAAAGTAATAATATATTGGAGTGGTAAATAAAACAATACTGAAATGTCAATAGTGTGTATCAGGTTTATATATATAAACATGGACCTGTCAAGGTTGTTTGAAGGTTATCAGCAAAGCTCTAACTAGCAGACAATGGTTTCCTTCAGTTCATATTGAGTTTTATTAAAACTATTGGCTGAATCCATAAAACAAATCACGACTGTCGCGTCCTTATATCTGTAGGTTAGAGCACTATAATGCTTCAGATAATGTTGTTCGTACATTGCTCATCAGTGAGTGCTAAAAGAAACGGGGTTTAGCTTTTGCTGTTGTAAAAGAAAAGAAAAAAGTGTTTGCCTGCACGTTTACATGTTTTCATGTGGCTTGGACGATCATGTTTTACATGTCTGGAAAGCCTTAAGATCTCTGAAAAAATAGACTAGATGCCATCTGTGATTGAATGTAATTTAGTTGACACGGGGGGGGGGGCTTAATTGTGAGCAACTCCCCTGTTCACATAATTTCAACATCGTCCGCCATCTTGGATTTTATCTCACCGCTACTGTTGAGTGTCCAGTAAATATTTCAACATAAAAAAGTTCATGTTGTACAAATAACCAGAAGACACAAATAAAATTTCATGTTTGTTAAAAAATATAACCCTTAGGCTGCTGTTTTGAAAAGTGGGGAGGGGGTTTATTTGCGAGAGGGGGTTTATTGCCGGTAAAATATGGTAAGTAAGCCAAGGTCCGCAATTGCTCATGGCATGCTTCGACCATGGCTAAGCTAGTATTGTTGACCATCATGGTCACTTTTTTTCATAGAGGAGGCACTGCAACGTAATTAACAGGCCTTCTAGTACTATGTCTCTGTTTTTTGTCTGCGTTTTGTTAATTAAGAAAATATGGGTTTGCTAAAGCTGAAGTATCGATTAAAGTAACTTTATAGATATATAAAGGTATATGTTATAAGGAACATGGAGATTTCAAATTCCAACCAAGTTAATTATCTCGTAGTCATTTGTAGATCCTGTTACAAGGCATTTCAACTTAGTTATATTAAATAACTCAATATCTTAAAAAAACCTTTCATGATCTTTAAATTAATCTGACATATCAGTTTGAAGTGTCTGTAAAGTAGACCATCTCCAACATATTATTGTCAGTTTCCAGAGCGTTGAAACCTCAAGGCAAATAAATGTTCGTCTATTTTGAGAAAGCAATAAAAAACACGGGTCTTGAATATGTTAAGTTGTTAGAAACAATTCCACTGTAATTAAGTTGATGGATTTTGATTACAGAATGCACACACCTCCTAATTAATTAATCACATACATGTATGCATGGGGAGTTTAACAAGCAGGGCAGTTTTTACTTGTGTTGGCATTTGTTATCGACTAGCATTCCTGGCGAACGGTGAGCAGCAGTGTGCACTGTATAATTGTGATGTCCTACGGAGACAAAGTACAGACCTCCAAATGCTGCCTGTGGTAGCTGACATGTGTAGGATAGAGCTTCCAGGCTTTCAACACGTTACATACGCATATGATGTGAAACTAATTGTTGTATTATGTAAACATTTCCAATGATGGCATCCAGATTGACCTAGTTTCACCATATTTAAAGATTCATTACTAGCTTATACTGAGACTTATAGAGCGCTCCACACAACAAATTAGTAAAATATTTTATTCATGTGGTGTTTTATGGATTTGAATAATATACATTTTGCTAGAACGTATGCCTGCATGGGCAAGAACAAAATATTTAAATGAACTGATCATTTGGGAAAGTAAATATTTTCAAGTATTCGCCGAAAATACTGGTCCCACAATTATAATTAACGTATGCAGTTAGTGTTTCGGCTTGACTATTGGTATATTCCTTATATATTCCTACAAAGTATTGTTGGCTATTGTCATTGAAAATTACTACAATTACTGTCAGTGATAGTAGTGTATCTGAGGGTATACATTGTATGCTTCATTAGTGACCTTTGTGGCTGACCTTTACCCTTGCCTTTGACCTTTCTTTGACATCAGTTGTTGATTTCTTTTATAAAACAAAATAATCATTATAATTGACCTCAATAGTTAGTGATTGTCCATTACCTCTATCATTGCTGACCGGTATCATTGTTAACCATTATATACCATTCTAAAAGGAATACCAATAATGATTTCTCCAATTCCATATTTTCTGTTGACCTATAACCTCCTTAATTGATTACTCTACTGCTCAACAGAAATACCCTCCTACTGTATAGTTACAAGTTCTGATATCTGCTTGGGACCCCTGTCCCATGCTTTCTATCATGGTTCCAATTAATGCAACAGTATTGACATTCCAGAACCTGACTACATTAATTCATACCACAACTGATTGTCAACTTTTTGACACAATCATATGATAAAGGTTGTTCCAGTAAAGAAGCTCTGTAATAGACAATTTGTGTGAAGATTACCAGATTTCTAAAACATTATATTCAAAGTGTTTCTTTTTTCCTCATCCCATCCTCAGACCCGGCCAATTGCTAATGTCTCTAGCTGACAACAGTCTACTAAGAAATTAAACGTTTGTTTTACAATTCATTACCTTGAAAATAAACCCAGAAATGTACATCAATCATTAATTGATAAGCGAGACTGTCATTGATGGCAGAGCGAGGTAAAGACATGAGGAAAACTAGATATCCTAATGTAATAAAAGCGTACACAATTACTGTCCTCACTGAAACGTATAAACAAACTTTTATATTGGGAAATTGCCAATGTATTATCTCAATTTGCAGTGTGTATATTGCACTGAGCATTATCTCCCTTGCCTTGGTTCAATTGTTTTATGGAAAATGAGCCACCAGGTCATGTTCGTCTTTGTAGATGCATCATCAGGGCTGTCTAATGGCTTTTGTATGAGGACTGAAGTCGGTCATCATCTGTCCCTTGGTGGTACATGATGGGCTCCAGGCCATAATATGCCACCCAACGTAATCTAATGGTCCTGTATCAAAATTAACCCACTGGTCCTTTAATTTTAAGAGTATCAGTATATACGTATTAGCAGTTACAGGTTTTGCAGCATAAAACTTAAAATATGTATTAGTTGAAATACCATCACATATTATCCATATGTTTGTATACGTAGTTACTGGTATGTAAGATTTAATGTGTAGACATTTTTGGTATATCATTCATTGAAATATTTAAAGATAAAAAGATGTTTAAATATTCAGTATGATAAAGACTAATTATCATACTTAATATCACAAGATACAATCTATGCCCAATTACTAGAATTCGCAAATTTACGGTCAATTCCATCCAGACTTTTTAGTGATGTAAAACACTTTATGCAAATATCATTTCTGCAAAATTTTGTCTTGGATTTTGATATTGCAGCTATCTAAAAGTCTTGGTTCAAAAGACAATATGTTTATTACCATAAGGGAGATAATTATATCATAACAGAGTATACTCTCTTCTGTAAGGTAGGATACATCCTTAAATGAGTTTTACTTTAATACATTGTAATAATACATATATATATATATGTATACAACCCTAGTGTTGACAACAAGTAAGGGAGATAACTAAAGGTGTTTTTACCATCTTTTGTTTATACAGAAATCCGAGGTTTTCCGTGTACCTGCCCACCCCACTTGTTTTCCTGTGGGAATTGTATCTGTATCCCAGAGAGATGGGCGTGCGATGGGGACAATGACTGCCAGAACAACTATGATGAGGCGCATTGTGGTATGTATCACTTCCTGTCTGTCAGCTGTATTCTTTACCTTTAAAACTTGTCCACTATGATGAGGCACATTGTGGTATATCCACTTCCTGTCTGTCAGCTGTATTCTGTACCATTAAAACTTGTCCACTATAAACTCAGATATCTGTATTTTTTTCATTCATTGTCCCAATGACCTAATTAGCAATAACAAACAAGTTTTAATATACAATTAAACAACTACATTATGAGATTTGATGATACGCTGAAACAAAGCATTGATTGTGGCGTCACAATATGAAAATGTATGTAGTTACAATCAGTTGGTCATGCAGCATACAGCTCCTCTGCATTATGGATTCCAACATTCGTCAGGCTTAATGAGGTTTGATTATACATTGAAACATCTTTCCAAAGTAAAATGAAAATAGATCATTTTAATCATTTACAGCATAAACTATAACTTTCAGTTGATGTTTCCTAACCACAAACAAATGTTGTCTGGTAATCTTATGTCTATTACAAGGTGTTAGTTTGAAACAACATAATCTAAAAAACAGTTAATAGTTCTCTCTAAATATATATACAGTTACTTGGCAAGCAGTTTAAGGAAGCATCTTGTGATCACAGAACACTCAACAGGATCTTGCCATACTCAGCATAGCAGCTGATATCATGATTATTTCCATAAGACTATGCTATATGTTACAAATATTTCATTTTAGTTTTTAATTTGAAATACCTTGGACTTCAACTAATTTGTCAAAGGATATTCTTGCAACTTTAAAAATGTATATCCCTGAATTAAGGAAGATAAAATTATATCAGACAACTTACTAAGATAGGATCTTACATGGTTTTATATGAGTGATAAAGCATTCATAAGTTTGTCAATTTGGTGAGCTTCTGAATGAGAAATTCTTTTTATCACATGATAAAAAAACCTGCAGCAAACATTTCAAAAGAAGACTTTCCATGTCATTTTTTATGTTTAAAATTCTGGCATCTTGGCTCTGTATATTAAGTTTCCATTGTGATGTCATAATCTGAAAGCCTGTAACCGTGATTATATTATCATTTTATGACAGCCTGATAGGTCATATAACATTGAGTTTGTATACAGAGTATTTCATTGAATCGTAATTATCATATATGTTATAAACCCCTTCCAAAGAAACTGTAGTTCTGTTGCTAATTAATCTGCTGTATCATTACAGTGAATATTAAAATTTTGTTTTAAAAGCATCGGACCTATCTTTCTATTTATTCAATATAGATTTTGTATTTGACCAAACAGTTCTTTTTTGAAATGTGAACACAGCAAAACTTTGAATCTCGTAAAAGTGACTGTAACTTTGTCATAAACACATAAAGCTTTGATCGGTCAGATTGACTCCAAAGACACTGGTATTATAATGACTGACAGAATTGTACACTTGAATTATCGTTTTGGGTAATAACAGTTATAAAGATAGAATTATCAAATTATTTCGGGATGTTTTTCAATGGTTTATTTGCTAGTGAATGGATCCCTTTTATAGGTTTGTGCATGCGCTCTGAATGACTCTGTACTCGCTTAAAATACACAAATCACGCACTGCTAAATCATGCCACTGAAAAAAGTCTAAATTATTTAAATATCCTGCAAAAATGTTTTGTAAACAAGTTTTTACAAAAACAATTAGTAGTTTTTTTTTCATTTTACCTTTGTTTGGTATAATATTTTTTTAATTTTAATAAGTGGATGTTTATGTAAACGCATTTCACATATTTTTATGTGACTTCTGTAAATTATAAGGGGATTTGTCATGAAGTTTTCCTTACGCCTAGTTAATGTTTATTTCTGTAGCAGTAAATAGCTTTGTTCAAGGGTTAAATGTGAATTTGTTATTCAGAATGGGCCTAATTTGTACGCCCAACCCAAAATGGTTGTCGGTTTTAATGAGGGGGTTGTATTGAAGGGAACAAGGAGATTGATTCTTTGAGGCTGGGTTGTTTGATCCCAATAACCTAAAGCGACCAAGTGGTATTGAAGTTTATTTTGAAAACTAATACCTGTTTGATGAAGCAGTGATCTATGGTAGTTGTTAAGATGGAGGTCGTTTGATATGGAGTACGGTGTAGTTTTATTGTGGAATTAAAATATAAGGTAATCTCAATTTCCTATTAGGGGTTAATTAGCGATAACATCCATAGAAATTTGTGAACACCATTTTTTTATGAATGAGCAAGCTGATTGTGACATTGGACTAGCATTGAACACAGATGTATAAAAGAACTGGATTTATCTGTTAAGTACAGTCAGATGTGGGATGGGTGTTCATCGTGATTCCTCGGAGATGGTTACACGTCTCATAGATCTAGAGTACAAGGAACCTTAGATCAGACATCAGAAGTCTTAGCTGAAACCTCACTTTAGAACCATAGTTTATTTCAAATGTCTATCTTGCATATGATTAATTTAAAATCAAGTTAAAATGTAAAATTTTAAAACAATTTTTGGTCATAAATACATGTTTCTAATACCATGAGAGCCGGATGATACCACACATTGCTGTCACATACACATGTGTACAAGATTCAGCAAACTTCTTAATGTCCTATGAAACTAGAATAAGTTTGGTTTCTTTTTATCATAACGACTCATAAAATATATTATCTAATTATAATCTGACACATTTTGTATAAAAGTTTGACAAGAAAAAGCTGAGTTTGTGTTACTGATAAATGAATTAAGGATCCCCGTACCACTGCCAAAAAATGTTAACTATTAAATATAAGTATACGTAATGGAAACTGTTTCTTCAGGCATGACTATAGCTTTAATAAATCATTACTGAAAAGAAATCCATTCCTTGTGCGACGTTTTTGAGAAATGGTTTACGGTGAAATAAAGAAAATATAATCAACAACAGTGCTCTGAGTGTAAAACTTCAGCGAGGCTAGACTGGGATTTGAAACCCTAACTTAAGATTGTAATATACATTGGTCAATGGAACTATCCTGGTCCAACTGTGCTGCAATTCTATCATAACGGAAATTAAGGGGAGGTTACTGTACATGTATAAAGGAAAAACCTGTGCAATGGGGCAGGGATCCTTAAGGATTTTTAATATATCAAATCATGAGGTTATTATATATAGTAAGATGCTATAAATACATGTGATATCTGGACAGAGGTATCTATCACACAGGTAGCTATAAATACATGTGATATCTGGAAAGGAGGTATCCATCACACAGGTAGCTATAAATACATGTGATATCTGGACAGAGGTATATATCACACAGGTAGCTATAAACACATGTGATATCTGGACAGAGGTATCTATAACACAGGTAGCTATAAATACATGTGATATCTGGACAGAGGTATCCATCACACAGGTAGCTATAAACACATGTGATATCTGGACAAAGCTATCCATCACACAGGTAGCTATAAGTACATGTAATATCTAGACAGAGGTATCCATCACACAGGTAGCTATAAATACATGTGATATCTGGACAGAGGTATCCATCACACAGGTAGCTATAAACACATGTGATATCTGGACAGAGCTATCCATCACACAGGTAGCTATAAATACATGTAATATCTGGACAGAGGTATCTATCACACAGGTAGCTATAAATGCATGAGATGATATCTGTACAGAGGTATCCATCACACAGGTAGCTATAATACATGTGATATCTGGACAGAGGTATCCATCACACAGGTAGCTATAAATACATGTAATATCTGGACAGAGGTATCTATCACACAGGTAGCTATAAATGCATGAGATGATATCTGGACAGAGGTATCCATCACACAGGAAGCTATAAATACATGTGATATCTGGACAGAGGTATCCATCACACAGGAAGCTATAAATACATGTGATATCTGGACAGAGGTATCCCTTACACAAGTAGCTATAAATACATGTAATATCTAGACAGAGGTATCCATCACACAGGTAGCTAAAAATACATGTGATATCTGGACAGAGGTATCCATCACACAGGTAGCTATAAATACATGTGATATCTGGACAGAGGTATCCATCACACAGGTAGCTATAAATACATGTGATATCTGGACAGAGGTATCCATCACACAGGTAGCTATAAATACATGTGATATCTGGACAGAGGTATCCATCACACAGGTAGCTATAAATACATGTGATATCTGGACAGAGGTATCCATCACACAGGTAGCTATAAATACATGTGATATCTGGACAGAGGTATCCATCACACAGGTAGCTATAAATACATGTGATATCTGGACAGAGGTATCCATCACACAGGTAGCTATAAATACATGTGATATCTGGACAGAGGTATCCATCACACAGGTAGCTATAAATACATGTGATATCTGGACAGAGGTATCCATCACACAGGTAGCTATAAATACATGTGATATCTGGACAGAGGTATCCATCACACAGGTAGCTATAAATACATGTGATATCTGGACAGAGGTATCCATCACACAGGTAGCTATAAATACATGTGATATCTGGACAGAGGTATCCATCACACAGGTAGCTATAAATACATGTGATATCTGGACAGAGGTATCCATCACACAGGTAGCTATAAATACATGTGATATCTGGACAGAGGTATCCATCACACAGGTAGCTATAAATACATGTGATATCTGGACAGAGGTATCCATCACACAGGTAGCTATAAATACATGTGATATCTGGACAGAGGTATCCATCACACAGGTAGCTATAAATACATGTGATATCTGGACAGAGGTATCCATCACACAGGTAGCTATAAATACATGTGATATCTGGACAGAGGTATCCATCACACAGGTAGCTATAAATACATGTGATATCTGGACAGAGGTATCCATCACACAAGTTATTTACTATAAATACATTCCAGCTATGAGGTATCCACCAAGCAGGTTGTTGTGAGATAAAAGAGAAGTTTTGTGTTGTAGAGGTGCTTCCAGTGAAAATTCTTCAACAACTTTATAGGGTTTTGAATGGGACCTCCTGTG